GTAAATGCAATGTAACGGTATATATATATAAATAAATCGTCGCGCATAAAATAATTTTTCAGCAGGTAATGGTATGGTAAGGTGCTCTACAATTGACATCAAAATTGAACGCTTTTTTCAAGTATTAGGAGAAATTTGCCAACGTGGATGACTTTATGTTGGAAGTAACCCGTATTTGCGTTGCATGGAGGGGCAAACCACGAAAACCTTCTACGGTTAGCCTGACGTCAAGGGTGTGAATACAACTATTGTGTATCAGTATTCTTTTTATTGTTGCAGCTTCCAATACGCTGTCTATAAGCTGTATTAATCATGCTCGATACTATGAAACTATAGGAACTTATTGAAAACGATATCAGTGACAAAACTTGTGGTAATATATTTAGTTTACGCTATATGCATATTAGTATTGAACAAAATCATGAAAAATCTATACCAAAAAAAAAAAACAATGTGTGTTATTTTGTTTTAATGTAATTATTTTCCACACACTGTAAATAATTTCGGTTTAAATTACCGTAAAAAGATCTGGCACTCTGATTGCAGTATCTGCAGATTCCATTTTACAATAAAGTTCATTTTTGTCGTAAAATTTTACATCGTAATTTTTGCATTTTAATTTTTACAGTGTTATTTATTTAATCACAGTTAGTCAGTGGTTTTAGAGCTTATATTACTGTAAATTCTCTGACGGTAAAGACAGTAAATATTACTGTAAAAACCATGATATATCTGTTTTTTCTCTTCAAATTATTACGGTAATAAGCACTGGTATCCTGAGTGCTTTTTACCGTCATTTTATCCAGAATTTTCCCAGTGTATATACACCATTGTAATGAAATGCAGACAGTAAGTGGTTTAAATAAAAAAACAATAATAAAACAATGTGTGTAACAAAATTTGTTTTAATATGTTTCTTTTAAGCAACGTATAACGATGATTTAAAATGCAACCTTGGGAAGGTCTTAATAGAAAAACACTCCCGTAAACAAATTTTATATTATTTAGTTTCTTTTAATCTGTATACAACGACGTAATGAAATAACAGTGATAAAGAGATTTAAATGAACAAAAATAATAGAATAATCTCTGTGAGAAAGTTTACATAAATATCTTTTTTTAAGCTACATATAATGATGCATTAAAAATCAACCATAGGAAGGTCTTAATAAATAAAAAATAACACTCTAAAAATGTATATAATAATGTATTCACTTTAAGCTGAATTACAATCATGAAGAGTTTGTATAAAAAATAATAAAACAACCTTTGTGACAAAATTTGCATTAATTTATTTATTTTAAGCAATATATATGATATATTAAAATGTGAATATGAATTTTTTTTATTAAAAAATTAAACAATGTTTGTGACGAAACTTGTGCTAATTTGCTTTTGATATGGTATATGAAACGGTGTATTGAATTACAATAGTATTATTAAAAAGTAAAACATTGAAGTCCACTGAAAAATTTGATTAAAAAAACATTCCATCCTCTTTCTGTTCCGGAAATTAAAAGACAGAATTATCAACAGAATTATTTATCTAACGACGAAAAGTTTCTTTCAAGAATTCAGTTATAAATTGTATTTAAATTCAAATAGGAAGTTGGAAAAATATATAAATAAAAAAAAAAGATCTCGGGTCAATCAAAAAAGTAAATTTCGTTTTAGTTTTCTACATGGGTTAAAGTTATGCATTTTTCTTTAACATATTCTATTTTCTGTTACCCTATAATCTGATTAGGTACATCTTGCTCAAAGAATATCTCCCCGCTTTTGAAGCCTGTGAACAATAGTAGAAGTGCGGTCGACGAATCTTAAATAATTCTATCCGAATTAAAGGCTGGAACACGGAGAGAAGAAGAAGAATGAAACTGTTAGGAAACTTAAAATTAATGGAAATATTTCCCCGCAGTAGCGTGTGATTAAAATACACTGACTATTTCTTTTAGCCATTAAAAAGCAAATATCTGTTTAAAACTTCTTTTTACGTCGCATTCAAAAATGGAAATGCAATGTAACGGAAAAATAAACTTTATTTTTTCGCGTTTCTGTTTCAATTTTATTTGCGACTGTATTGCAAGTAAGAAAGTTAAAATAAAAAAATAAATAAAATCTCTAAAGATATATTCAAATACAGCTGTGATTCGAGAGATATATTATGAGAATTGTAAAAAAGGGGGATGTGTGTACTAAAATATAGGAGTCTTTTTTTTGTAATGAATTTAATTCAGCTTGGAATGTAAAAGAGTACATTATATATTCGATTCTCAATATTATAAACTGAAATAAAAACACCTTTTTTTAGACTTATATGTAAATTAATTAAATAGCACGTTACTTTAGAATATAATATTACATATTTTAATTTTTAAAGAAAGAAAAAATTAATTATTCTGAATATTAAAACATTTCAGCATTGTTCTAACATTTTTAAATAATTATGAGGTAATTAAATTAATGTTAATGTTTGTAAAGCAAACACAAAACTCAGTATACACAGCACCTGGGTGCTTTTCTACAAATAAAACAAATTTTTCACTATGCTATTGAATCACAAAGCATAGCTTGGAGATAAAATTATCTTTAAGTTTTACTTCTGTATCTTGATAATAAGCGATTGCTTAAGAACTGGGATGTTAAATTTTTTTTATGTTTTATTTTCTTTTATGTATTATGTTTTATTTTTTTATGTTTATTGTCTATCTATCTTTATGATATTGAATCAAAGAGCAAGGCTTGGAGCAGAAGTTTTTGTAAGTTTTGCCTAAGTATCTCGATGATAAAAGGATGTATAAGAACTATGTTCTTTTTTAAGTTTTCATTTTTTCTCTTTTATTATCTGCCAATCTATCTGTATGCTACTGAATCAAAATGCGTCACTTGCAGCTGAAGTTTTCGTAAATTTTTGCCTCTGTATCTTGATAGTAAATTGATGTTTAAGAACTTTATTATTCCTTTACGATTTATTCATTTTCTTTTATTATCTTTCTTTATGCTATTGAATCAAAAAGCACAGCGGGAAGCAGAAGTTTGCGTAAATTTTTGCCTCTGTATCTCGATAGTAAATGGATGTTTAAGAACTGGAACGCTGTGTGTTTTTATGTTTTATTCCTTTTTTTATTTTCTGTCTATCCATCTTCTTGCTATAAATCAAGAAACATAGCTTGCAGCAGAAGTTTTTTTAAAATTTTGCAAAGGTATTTTGAAAGATGTTTAAGGTTTGGATTCTCTTTATGTTTAATTTTTTTTTTTATTACACGTTAATTTTTTTTCATGCTTTCAAATCATTAACTTGCTGAAGAAGATTTTGTAAAATATTGCCTTGTCTATGTATTTTGATTATAAAAAGATGTTCAAAAATTGCATTTCGCTTTAGTTAATTTCTTTAGTTTATTATTTTCCAATCTTTCTTTATGTTATTGAAACAAAGCTCGTAAATTGCAGAAGTTTTCGTATATTTTTGACTCTGTATCTCGATGGTAAATTTTTTAAAAATGTTTTTACTCTTTTTCTTTTATGATCTGCAGCCATTATTTTTTATTACTATTACCATTACAAGAGGCATAAATTAAAGAAGTTTTCGCAAATTTTTACCAATGCATCTCGGAAGTAAATGAATGTTTGAGAACTTTATTAACTACTTAAGAATTCTTTATTAAGCTTTATAATTTTCTTTTATTAACTGCAAATTTTTCTTCATGCTCGGAGAAATAAATTATGCTAAAATCACCGTACTGTACCCAAATAGCAGTTATGGTAAATAAAAACATAATTCTGTTTCATGAAATTAAAATATATGGTGTTAAACCATTGATTTGGTAATTTCTCCATTTATATGGTAATCGTTTGATGCTGAAATTCCGGTTTTCGAAATTGAAATTCTTCTTACCACACATTTAGTAAAAAAATACAAAACTGAAAAGTAAATTTAAGCGAATAAATAATTTTTAGGCCATGCTCTAATGTATCATGATGAAATTGAAAAATTTTACGACATGTAACAAATTTTTTCACACATCATAAAACAATATTCTCTTGTTAATTTTATTAAAGTCATTGCAAAAGAGCTTTTTGGAGCTCCATATAACCAGTTAATTTTACAATAATGTTGACTACAATTTTTTTCAAGTGTGAGATTGAATCACGAATCATCAATAAAAGAAAAGTATTTCGCAAAATTTTGCCCATATATCTCGATAGTAAATGGATATTTAAGAACTGTATTCGTTTTCAAGTTTCCTTATTTTTTCAGGAAAAGAAAGTTACGTATTAGGGGAAACTATTAATTTTTAAACTGTAAGAAAGCAGGACCAAAAATAAAATCTTCATATTGAAATCTGACAAATCATCGTTCATAAAGTTGAGATTAAAAACATCAAAACTGGTAAACATCAAAACCGATTGATCTCACATTTTCTCATTTGCCTATGGAAGTTAAACAGATTTTATTAAATGGTTTTAATCTTGCATTCCTCATTAATTATTCGTCAGATATGGACTGTGTTTCTGTTTTCCTTTTTGAAAAGGACACTTTTTAGCCCCTATCGTGCATATATAAAAATATACATATATTAATTATTATAATAATAATACTAATAATAAACTAAAATGTGTCTTGTTCCTACCGCACCCAACGTTTTACAGATGATGAAATACTTCGGAATTGATTTAGTCAGTTTAAAGAAAAATCTCTATTTAAAAAACTGCGTAAAAACTGTGGCTTTTAGAGAAAACTCGATGTAAAAGAAAGTTAAAACATTAACATCAAACATTACATAGTAAAAACATTAACATAAGTAAACATCTGTTAAAAAATCTTATCTAACAGAAAACAAAGTAACTAAATAAAACAAAGTAGTAAGAACAATACTAATAATAAACTAAAATGTGTACTGTCGTCTTGTTCCTACCGTACCCAACGTTTTACAGATGATGAAATACTTCGGATTTGATTTAGTCAGTTTAAAGAAAAATCTCTATTAAAAAAACTGCGTAAAAACTGTGGCTTTTAGAGAAAACTCGATGTAAAAGAAAGTTAAAACATTAACATCAAACATTACATAGTAAAAACATTAACATAAGTAGTATAAGTTAAAAAATATAAGTATAGTAAGTAGTAGTATAAGTAAGTAAGTAGTTAGTAGTAGTAAGTAGTAAGTAGTAGTTATAAGTAAGTAGTATAAGTTAAAAAATCTTATCTAACAGAAAACAAAGAAAATTGTTTTTTCGTGTTATCAAGAGCGTTATTTTGCCTAACCTATCTAAGGCAACCACTTTATAATATATCATTAAAATTTTGCTTAATACACATATGAAAACACTAAAATATTTACGAAATAATGATAAATTATATGAAAATGCTGTCTATTATGAAAGATAGCAAGGATAGAAGCCTCTTAATGGTGTTTAGGTAATTTTTCAATTCAATAACGTATTAGAATAAATTTGAATCAAAAGCTTTTCACAGTTATTGCGGTCTCTTTTCATGCAAATTGATTCTTGGAGTTGAAGAAACATTTATTTCAATTTTCTTCCCTTAGGAAACAGAAGAAATCAATCCAACTCACCGTGATAGGGATTAATGGAAGAACCACGATCTCCAATCACCAATTCTTCGCTGGTACTAGAATACACCTGGGGGATTGAACTCATGCATACAATCTTGATTTCTCCTCTATAAAAATGACCATGGTCAATTTTAAATTCTAAACCAATACGAGTTGTTTGCAGGCCATTATGATGTCGCATCGGAGGATAACGATTCTCTGTAGTTGGAGGAAACTGAAATCAATCAATTATTTGAATAAACGTTTTATGAAATGGAAAATAATATTGCATTTTTGAATGAAATCGGGACATTTTGAATATTAGAATTAACCATCAGAATACACTATTAGAATAAACACGTTATGAATGGAAAATAATATTAAATTTTTAAAAGAAATTTGAACACTTTGATTATAAGAATTAACACGTTATGAAAAATAAAGCAATATTAAATTTTAAAATGAAATTGGGACATTTTGAATATTAAAATAAGCTATTAGAATAAACCTTGCGTCTCCAAATCACTAGATTTCTCGGATCATGGGCTCTGAAGCTTGGGTTGCCCTAACTGAACTCTAATGATATCAGTAGACTCTCATAAAAATTTACTACATGTTCTTAAAATGTTTTACGATTCAAATAATATTACAAGATAATCATTATTAAATATCAGTTGAAAAAATAAAAGTGGAGATTTTTTAATACGCCTATATATTGTACCAATTTGTTTGTATAAATTTCTAATGATAAGTAAATATATTAATAATTGGGTGCAGATTTTGAATATTTTAAAGAAGTAAAGTTTAAAAATAAATGCATATAAATAAAGGGAATTTCAATAATGGTTTGATAATGTTGATAATGTATTTGAGAAAATCTAAAATACATTTTATTGGTAAAGTAAAACAAGGTAATAATGTTCTGAAAATTTACTTTTTACGTCTGGTATTTTAAAATAGCTTTAAATCTAAAATTAAGATTTAATGATATAGTGAGAAATATATATATTATTCTACAGAAGTGGCTAATTACTGCCTTTTTTTTTCTCTGTTTAAAATTACTAACACTACAGAGAATTTAGAATTAGGCTGCTTTGAGTAATGAAAACTCGAGAGTATCTTGAATAACTCAAATTATTCACAGCTTTTTTTCCCGCTACATTTGGTTTATTTTAAAATATCGTAATTATCTAGAAACTTTCGCTTATTTGAAGATATTAAAGAAACATTCTCTTAATTAAGCCCTGCAAACATTTCAAAATAAAAAAAAGGAACGAGGTTTTAAATAAATAACACTTTCAAGAGTAAAAATATTAAGATGTTGTTTTCGATTATGATAGTTAAAATAAAACACTATTTATTTTATTTTGTAGCATTTGTCGAAAAATCTTCGTTTTTAATGCATATATTTCAGCTATTAAGGTCTTATGGCTAGTTTTTATAAGGAACTTTGTAAAATCTTTGGCAAAACCAAACAAAAAATGTTTCATTGATGTTTTAGAGCATGTTTTTTATTTTTAAATATTTTTATGGGAAGCAATATTTTAAATCATCTATCAAAGCAAATCTCATATCTGTATTTTGAAAATGTTTATTTTATAGTTGAACCTATGAAGTATTTTGTTGCATAGTATTATACTTATTTATATGGCTTTAAGTGAAAAATGATTTCAGAACACACTTTTTCTGTTTTAGAATCTAAGTATCATGTTGCATTGCAATTAGCAGAAATTAAAATATCTTGTGATGCTATTTTGGACATTGCATATTTCTTCGCTTTTAAAATTTCTTCGATTTCATAAATTTAATTTTTCAATCATTTTCATTTTTTAATCATTCAATTATAATTTTATCCAATTATAATTGAATTGAAGCAATTATTAACTTTTTATCACATTCATTAAAAGCGAATATAATTATTTCATTTTCTTCGCAACAATCAATGAATGTCAATTGAGTCAGTACCCAACTACTTTATCCAACTCAATTTGAATCTATTCTTTTTCCTGCTTCTTAATGATTTATGAAAGAAAGTCAATTTTAATGGGGAATTATAATTCTTTATAAGCATATCAGCTGCTGTACTCATCTGGTTTATTTTATGAACTTTATAATATCTGGATTTTAAAATATTGTACATTTTATATAGCTCCAAGTTATATCTTCATCTCCAAGCATTGTTGATTTTCCTCCCACCAAATATGACTCGACAAAACTCATTAATTCACTGTAGTGACTATTTGAATATCAAATCAAATTGTATCAAAATCTATTTTTAACTCTATTTTCCTTAAGCTGCTTTATTTCTAAAACCACAAAAATATTTTCTTTCTAGGGTTATATTAAATTCTCACGATCGTTTTGGTGATGAAACAGTAGCGAGATTGCTCAAAATTTAATATTAATAAAGTCGGGTTGGCTTTGTTTTTGGCTACATCATCTATTGATAACTCGCCAACTTTGATTTCGTCCCACGCTACTTAGTGTTCCTAAGTTCATTCCTGCTAATTGAAAATTCTTGCGTTAAGACTGGGAGTTTCTGAATGCCCAAGGGCCCTTTAGACCAACCGTTAATAATTACAAAAATCATCATTTTAAAATAGATATCCTCGTTTCCATATAGTGCTTAGTGATGCTGCTTAGTGGTTTATTCTTATTCATAAGGTCTTATTTCGTTCCTTTTAAAAAATATTCCCTTTAGGCTGTTTTACGAGGATTCCGTCGCAATATGAAATTATGCTTTTATCGAATAATATTCTATTTTAATAACTGTTGTTAGTTTGTAACTGTTACTCATGACAATTTTGCCTATCTAAAGCCAGCGATGTCTACGATTATTTTGAAAATGGCGCAAAACGTCAAAGCCTCAGTTTTGTAAAAATGAAAAGCGTTCGTGGTCTAATATTTTACTATTTAAAAACTTATTCCAATGCTGCATTAAATTGAACTCATAAAAATTTGCTAAAACTGAGAATAAGGCAGTGATTATGATTATTTTCCTCTAGGTGGAAAAATGTCGCCAAATTGGCAATTTTTATGTAAGTTTCCCAATTTTTCAAATATTTAAATTATTTGTCTATTCTAAAGCCCTGATAATTTTTCACGACAAGATTATATATATATATATATATATATATATATATATATACATATACTNCTTAATTTTCTTAGTGTTTTTTTTCGAATTTATTTATTATGATCTATCTATCTATCTATATCTATCTATCTATCTATCTATATATATATATATATACATATATATATATATATAGTTTAAAATCATCGCTTTTCACCAAATGTAAGGCACTTTAAGAATGGCTTTTTGATTTTCCTTGGCGACAGAGCTTCGAAAAATACTGCTAATAAAGCAATTTTGTTTGATGTATCTTTAGAAGGATTCCTCTTTCGCAAGAAACTCAAATTTACCAGAAATCACCAGTACTATACAGCCAATTCTTCCATAAAACTAGATAAATGCTTCCCACGCTTAAATACTGCAAACATTAAATTTTAATTAATGTATAAGTGATTATTATTGCTTCGTTTTATGTTTAAGACTCAAATATGTATCACTTAAATTCGCCTTTACTTATTGCAAGCAACTATCGCTGGTCTTAACTTTTGTCTTCATCAGAAATAGTAGAAATTAAAATGTCGTGATGATTATTTTTGATTGCTTGGGTGATTTATTGAAGTAGATGTACTCTGTTAAATGTAACAGAAAACAAAACTAATGAAAGGTGATAAAGGGATTTCACGATACTGTATAGGACATATGCCTCACATAGTAATTACAGATAATATATGTTGAAAATAGAATAAATTGTAGACAATGAAAACAGGAAAACAAAACTTTTATTCAGAAGCAGAGTTTGAGTTGCTAAACAAAAAATTATATCTTATCCAAATATCAGTTTAAGTATAACAATGAATATTGATAAATGATATTAATAGGGACCAACCACGGAGTCCCGCACCACCTGCATAATCAAAAGTAAGTATTTAACCGACGTTTTTAGTGGTCTGAAGTAGCGCACTACCAGTAGTGAAACTACGGTAGTCGCTACTTTTTTTTCGTAGTTTGTAGTGTTGTGTGCTCCTTTTTTTTAAAAAACGTAGTGTAATGAGTTGTGCGATACAAAAAAACAGTAGTTTGTAGTGATTCCTGACAACTACTTTCAACGTTTAGAAAAGAAACACAGTACTAACGCAACTAATTTTTCGAGTTTTATGGGTACAAATCTTCTGGGGTCACGTCAATAGATGCAATGAAAATGACCCTGTTTCTGTTGCTGAGCGTTAACAGAAAATAAGTATTTAAAATCGCGTATAACTAATATTTTAACTAGCCATTGCGAAAAATAGAGAGTCACAATTTCACATACGAATGCACACTCGTAAAACATAGATATTATTTCAAACGAAGGGGGAACGTACTTTGGATGTAGTACCTAAGTTCTTGGAGGGAAAAAAAGAGCATTAAACATTTAACGAAACTGCTAATATTTGATAACTTCCTATTTCTTCGTTGTAGAAAAAGACATAAAAAATTGAAGGTTTAATGAAAAAATTCGATTTTTTTTTTGAAATAACAGATTGATTATGTAAGCATGAATAAATGTTAATTATTCCCTTATATTCAATGTAAGATAATTTCTTATTCAAAACTATTCTGAACATAGGTGCAAATTAATTTCTCCAACAAAGTTCATCTTCTTAAAGCAGTGAAGTAGTTACTACAATTCCAAAGTAGTTTGTAGTTAAAAAAAAGTAGTTGCAGTTGAAGTTAACTACAGTTGCAACAAAGTAGTTGTAGTTGTATGCAAACTACAGAACAAATGTAGTTTTTCAGACCACTGGACACTTTGAAGTACAGGAAGAAATTCATAAAAGACGATTTATCAAAAATAGACACTGCCAAAAGTCAAGCTAATTGAGCTAACCTCACAATATCTAATGTTACTTTTTAAATAATTTGGCTGACGATTTAAAGGCAAAAAATTCTTAAGATATTAAAGAAAACCTAACAATGTATATGCTAATGATTAATATGGTTGAAGAAAACAAGATTTAAAATAGAATTTGATAGTAAGTTGTAAATTTTTATTCTCTTGCACTGAAATAAAACATTTAGACATTACATTTAAGAATAGAAATATTTGCCTTCATTCTTTTAGAAGCTTGATATAAGTTAACTGAATTATTTATTTATTTGGAAATGATTGGGAATTATTAAGTTTGAATATGTTACTGTGAATGGCCGAAATTGGTGGTCGTTGACTTCCACCAGTGAATGCTGACAATAACATAGTTGCTTTTGTAAATGTCCGTAATATATACTGGGTCTAGTTAAGCGCCACTATCCGGTATACATTTGCCCAGCATGTTCTACATCAATGTTTTTCCAGGTCAAGAGCCACTGCCCAGTATGAATTTAACCGGTACTCCGAGCACTGATGATTCTTCTTATCCTTTGACCGGTACTCAGCAGATATTAAAATATCGAATAGATGTAGTAATATCAACGAATAAATTAATAATCGGATAAAACAAATATTTCGAACATCCACCAAAGCGACTATGTGATTGTTGGCATTCACCGGTGACAGTCGACATTCTCTTGATTTCATTATTTTCCATTATAAATTTTATGAATAGTGATGTAGTAATATCAACGAATAAATTAATATCAAATCGGATAAAACAAATATTTTGAACATCCTCCAAAGCGACTATGTGATTGTTGGCATTCACCGGTGACAGTCGACATTATTTTTCATTATAAATTTATGAATAGTGATGTGATATCAACGAATAAATTAATATCAAATCGGATAAAACAAATATTTTGAACATCCACCAAAGCGACTATGTGATTGTTGGCATTCACCGGTGACAGTCGACATCCCCTTGATTTCATTATTTTCCATTATAAATTTATGAATAGTGATGTAGTAATATCAACGAATAAATTAATATCAAATCGGATAAAACAAATATTTTGAACATTCACCAAAGCGACTATGTGATTGTTGGCATTCACCGGTGACAATCGACATTCTCTTGATTTCCTTATTTTTCATTATGAATTTATGAATAGTGATGTAGTAATATCAACGAATAAATTAATATCAAATCGGATAAAACAAATATTTTGAACATTCACCAAAGCGACTATGTGATTGTTGGCATTCACCAGTGTCAGTCGACATTCTCTTGATTTCATTATTTTTCATTATAAATTTATGAAAAGAAAAAGAAATTCGAAAGCTAGAAAGTAAGTAATTCGTGAAATGGTATGAGAAGTATCTGCAAACATTAAAACTTAATTTAGAGATATGTGATTATTTTTGTTTTTTTAATACTTAAAACTCAATAATAGATCAGTGTAACTACCCTTTACTTATTATGAACAATTGTCGCGATTTTGAACTTTCACTATATGTTATTTTATAGTAGCAGAACAATTTTGCTACTTCTTACATCATTTTGTTAAAACTATCATTGGAGCTAACGATGTGGCAGTATTTTATTTTTCTTCGCTGAACTTTTGTACTTTCAAATGATATATTTTTAAATGAATATGAAGATCCAAAACAACTCTCACCTCACTTCCCTTTTCTGAGAAAATCTCAATTAACCGGTTACAACAAAAAGCGGTATAGTACTCAATTTTATTTTCACGTTACCACATTATCATTTAATTACATTTTCTTTTTAATTGCTAACATTTATGAAAGTACCTCTTGGAGAATCGATGGTATAGTGGTTGCAATCAAGAAAACACTAATGATAAAATTAATTGATATTTACCAAACACTCCTTAATGAGATCATTAATTTTAATTCCCAAATGAATCATAATAAACGTTATGCTTGAATTAGTTCAAATAAATAATGCTTTTATTTGACGTTACTTATTGGAATCAATTCATAAATTCATTGCGTGTTTACTTTAATACATTTTAAAAGTTTAAAAGAGCTATTTTATTTTGAAGTTGAGCATTTTTATTTAGAAATATTATTACTGATAAAAAGTAACTTCGCGAGCATGGGTGTGATTGGTGGGGGAAGGTGGTTATATGTTCCCCTCAATAAATAGAAATCTCTAAGATTCCCCCTCAATATTTCAGACAAATAAAGAATTTAGTGAATTGCCATTGAATTAAATTCTTTACAGTTAAAAAAAATAAGATATAAAGTAATTTATCTTTTTGCAGGTATTTAGCACATTTAAGAATTTGTCTTTCGTATCAGGAAAATTTAGGGAACTATAGTACTGTGCAGAGAGTTGTATAATTTAATTTCGTTCCCCTCAAATATTCGGCCCCTATGGAGCCAATGTTTTAGAGTATTTGAGAAGTTACCTCAACAAAATTGTTTTAGAATTTTTAATCAGACAGTTTTCAGAATTTTTAATCAAAGACTTGTTCTTTTTGTTTAAACTATGAAAAAAGCTAGAGAGGACAAGTTCTAGAGAGACAAGACCCAAGATGAAAAGGGCTAGAGAGGACAAATTGGCCAAAACAAACATACTACTCATTGCTTTGAGCATATTTTGTATTCTTTTCATTACAATTTAATTGGTTATTTTCATTTTGAATGATAAATAAGCGAATTTAAATGCATAATTTTTAAGTCTTTGCTAGGCGCATGCACGTCAGCAAGTCAAGACAGACTCGTCAACTTTGAGCTCGGTGGCATTGGACTGTCTTTGAATGAAATGAACAATTGTTTTAATAAATAAGTTCTTAAAACTTACAATTCAAATAAATATTTGTAAGTATTGCAACATTGTAAACATTATTTACAATAAAATAAAAAAAAAGTCATGGCAGCTGGTCCGTCGCTAAAATATTTAATTACATTTTGTTTAAAAAGATTATAATTTTTTTTTATTAAATAATTTTTTTCTTCCTAACTGTACTAGCCCAGGTTCATGTGGCTAGTGTGGACATGCCTTAAAACTTAATCTATTAAAATCATAAAAAATGCAATTAAAATTTTAAACGGAACTAATTTTCGTCAAAAGTCTTGAGTAAGTAATAACATAATTTTTAAAATTATGTTATTACTTACTATTATACTAATTACTATTATACTATTAATTATGTTATTACTTACTAATTATTTCTGAAACCTAATAAATACTTAATTCAACTTCGTCTGTTATAGCAATCGAATCGCCACAAATGATTGCTAAGTCGTCCAATTTTTGGAGATATTGTAAGCAAAGTGAGTAAGGAAGAAAGACAAATTATGCTAAAGTAGTTTTAAATTACGGTAGTGTAAAATTAAAGTAAGAGTATGTAAAATTACGGAAAAAGTAGTGTTAATAAAATTTATTTTATAAATGAAAATATATAAAAGCCAATCCTTCCTTTTTTGAAACAACTCATGTGCGAATGTAACCACAGTTACCATAAAAAATCGCGCTAAATTTAAATTATTTTTTTTAAAATAAACAAAATGACTTTTTATTTAGAATATCCATTTTAATTCCAAAAATATTTGAATTTACCTTAATCTAAATTAATGGTATATTAAAGCGTTGAAATAATAATAAAATAAATTCCGATTGTATTTGGCACATTAGTGCACGAATTTCAATATTGAAGATACTCCCATTATAAAAGGAGTTATATGTTTACATTTAAACTAAGGGAACATTAGCCTAGGAAACACTTACAAAAGAAGAATGTTCACATAATTTCTTATATCTATATAAGTTCTCATTATAAATATTCTATGATTACAGATGATTTGCTTAAACAATCTAAATGTGAATAGTGAAATCATGCTAATGCCACTGATTACCTTTTTAATAAAAATACCGTCTGTCCTGAAAGGATGACTAGGCTCCAACGAATAAGTAATAGATAAAAGTGGAAGTAAAATTTTCTATCGGTAATAAATCTTTACGAAAGCCCTAGTTTTCTTGCTGCAACTATATAAAAAGTGATTTATGAAAGAAATGATAATATATTAAGTAGTTCTTTATTATGTAAACTACCACTTAATCTTTAAAAATCATCAACGACAGAATTTCATATCTTATTCAAAAGTTTTGTTATTTATTTATCATGGAGGCCACACAATATATAATTTTGAGCTTTATTTTCTATGATAAAAGCCGTGATCAAATAATTATGCTAGAGTTTTTATCTTTTTTAATAATTCAACTGATGAGAGAGCAAAAACATAAAAATATAATTTTTGTTTTTAGAAGCATATTCCCAGATAGCACCATTTTAAGATTTCAACAAAAATGCTACAATCAGGGAGACTCATTTCAGAAGTCACCGGTGACCTCTGTGTTGAAGGTTGCTTTGTTCCTCTTGGGAGACGTCATATTTTGACTTCATTTAGACGTTAGTTTAAAGTCTGCAAAAACGAATATTAAAAAATAAAAGATAAATAACACTTATTCGGGTATTAGCTGCTACTTGATAAATATCAAAACTTAACCCCGTCCCGTCCCCTTCAGGGGACATCCGGAGAATACTGTAGACTCTAAGTGTCTAAGTAAAAAAAGGAGCATTCAAAAAGGTAGTCTTGGTGGCGATTCATGGCAACACCAGAAGGCCTCAAAGAATTTAGTGAAATCTTAAAATTTACAATAGTAGTTATTCAGAAAATAGAATTTAGGAGATTGAGTGTTCAAACAGAATAGGCAAGGCATTGAAAAAAGGTAACAAACAAATCATGATAATGAAAAGTACCAGAATTTGTCTACAGCCCATGAGCTACTTGATAAATATCGCGTTTATTTTGAATGTTTCCATTTTCGTAAAAATCAAAGAAGGGGTTTCGTATAAATCAAAGATCGCATCAAGCGGAATTCGTTAACTAAAACTTTTAGGACACCATTTTTATAATTGTCGTTACATTTTGGTACTATATATATATATGGCTTGCGTAAAATTTTTTTTATTATAAAAAATATAAAGAATAGTATAACCAAAGGGTAAACGAAGCTCTTGTTCGTTGTTCGACGATAAATAATTAAAATTGGCGACTACTCAGTTGAAAACTACCACTTGTGGCGTCACTAAAAGTCTTTGGTGATCTCAACTGCCTTATTTCTCGGTGGCTGTGATATAAGTCCTATATTTATTGAATATAAATCGGAATTGAGCTTTCAGAAAAGTCTGGAGTCGGAAGTCAAGCAACTCATCAACCGACTCCAAAGCTATGGTTGAAAGTAAACATCGAACTCTGGTTAGTAGAAGATTAAGTTCTCATGTGAAACAGAGCAACAACACAATATCGAATATATGCAAGAGTCAAGCTTTCAGAAAAGGGCGGAGTTGGAGTCAAACATTTTAACTACCAACTCTACAGCTATGCCTGAAAGTCGACCTTTGGCCACAAAGAGTAAAACGGTAATTATATACAATTCTTTCAAAACTATTATTATTAAAACTGCGTTAAAATTTGAAAATATACAACCTACTATATAATCGGAATCGAGCTTTCAGAAAAGTAAAGTCTGGAGTAGGAAGTCAAACAATGTATCAACCGACTCCAGATCTATGGTTGAAAGTAGACTTCGAGCTCCGGTTAGTAAAAGGTTAGGTTCTCATGTGAAAAAATACACAATATCGAATATATGCAAGAGTCAAGATTTCAGAAAAGTACGGAGTCGAACATTTTAAGTACCAACTCTACAGCTATGCCTGAAAGTCGACCTTTGGCAACAAAGAGTGAAACGCTAATTATGTACAACTCTTTCAAAGCTATAATTATTAAAACTGTGTTAAAATTTGTAAATATACAACCTACTTTAGTTAAATGTATCTAAAAATGACGAAGTTGGAAATATTTTTAAATAAACTACGTAAACTTTAAGATATGACAATTTCGTGAAATTAAGATCTTAAAAAAATATTATTATTTAATAAAATATTAATACAAAGCAATTTAATTAAAAAATCGAGTCAGAAATTTTACTTATACATAATTTGTTTATAAAAAATACTTACTTCTCTATCATTTATGTACCATTTCATATGAGCTGTAGGTTTAGAGGGTCCTGATGTACATGTTATATTTACAACATCATCGATTTGATAAGGAGGATCAATACCTTCTATGATTGGTCCGTTTGTTGGTAGGACTAAAACAAAAAAAAAGGATTATTTATATTCGGAATCATTGTTTTAAATAATGCGGTTATTCATCAAAATGACTGTTAATAATTTTAAAAAACGCCGCATATTTAAAAATCGAACTAATCGAGCAGTAACTATTCGACCAATTTCGTTCAAATTTTGTATTTTGTCATAAAAATTATATATGTTTATACGTAAAATGTATATACAATACAATTAAATTCTTTCAGATACCATAAAAGAAAATAATAAAACTTAAGATATAATTATGATGGTTATTTTTTCATGAAACCATCTTTGTATACATGTATTTTATAACTGCAAAAATTTAAAAATCTGCATTTTATGCTTGCAGAAAAATTTTTGATTCGCGGAAATTGTTAGCACATAAGTAAAAGTATTGGAGAAAATATTTTTGCTAACATTTATGTGTATTTTATCTAACTGCAATGATACCTTTTAGTGTAAGTGAGAAGCATAAATGATAACGGCTACTTTACAACAAGTATCGTGAATGAGTCTTTGTGTAATGAAGCACTTAATCCAAGAATTTTGTATGATATTTTACGAAACCAATTTGGTGTAAAGTAGTTGCAAGCATTTTTGCGTAGAGCTACAGAAAATGTATTGTAACAGAAAATGCATTAAAATTAGTACTTTAAACGTAATTATCTGTCCTAAACAAGTTTTCCCAGCATTTGCATATTTTTTTATATTTTTTAAATAAATATTCCTCTATAAAATGCCATTTTTGAAAAGTTAAATATAAGATTGACAAAAAGATATTACGCAAGCGACGCCAAATTTTTTTCACACATACTAAAATAATTTAACGTATCTCAACTCAAGAAAAAAAATGTGGCAACTACTTTCACCAAATTGGTTTCGTGAAATACCATACAAAACTCTCGGATTGAGTACTTCACTACACAAATGTTATTTTACACTACTTGGTGTAAAGCAGCCGTCATTCTTATTGTTTTTCACTAACACTAAAATTTATAATTATAGAAAGATAAAATACACATAGGAATCAGTAAAAACATTTTTGCAATAAAGTGAAAATCATTAATTTTGAAATCTTTAATTTTGAAATCTTTAATTCAGAAAAACTAATTCTTAATAAATTATTTTTTAAATCAAACATGCTAGAAAAACACAGAGAATTCAAAATAGGCTTAAAAAGTGGATAGAAATTATACATTATAAATTCATTCAGTGCAGTTCTCAGAGATTTAAAAATTAAAATATAATTATCCTTATTGCACAACTAAGAACATACGTAAATATTTAGCGGAGGATTTCTGTTTTTGTTCAGGAATTTCAGCGTTGAAAGCAAAAATAAACTCTCGCCAGCTCATTCAAGATTGTAAACAAACTTAGTAGTATTTGTTTGGTGTTTCTTGAAATTTTGATATTCAAGGCACGCCAGCATTGTGCTTTTGAAATTGAAAATAATTCAGGTATGGCGTGAAAGCGTGAGAGTTTGATGTAATATTAGTCAATTTTAAGTGTAATATTAGTCACCCTTTGAACTGTGTAAGAAGGCACAATTTAGTGTTAACCCGGAATCACACAGTTTTTTGGGATTTGTTCAAATCATATTCTGAAGGATATAACACCACAATGTTACATTTCATCATTATATCGTTTAGGCTAATCTGATGGTCTAAGACCCAATAAAAATATTTTACTATTGATTTTATTTAAATAGAAAAGTATATTGAATACTTAGTCAATATAATATAAATATTAATACAATTCACAATTGGTTGTTTTTTACAGTATCTTTCGCATATTTTGCGAAAAGCCCTTTCAGATATTTTACCTTACCATTTAGGTGATTTAATCGAACTACAATTTATATTTTAGTAAAAACATTAAATCTTCCAATATTATTTTATTTAATAAAAATGAATATAATCTTTATGTGATAAAGCCCTTTTTGACATATGTTATTCTAATACCTTCTCATTTAACAAATTTGTAGTGTTTTTCCCGTTAAAATATAACACATTAGAAACTTAAAAGGGGATTTAAAATTTAATAGAATGAAAACTCACTCTTTTGATGAAATATCTGAATTATCCAATTACTGGAAATTGACGCTAATTTTAAGAAAATGCATCTCGCTGAAAAGAGAGCTGTGTAATCGTTCGAAATGCTAGAGCAAAACTTTAATAACCTGTCATATATTTCGCGTTTTAAATTAGCTGTCTATTTCCGATTCTTTCAACTTGGTTTTATGTATCATATTTAAAGTAATCATTTTGACGCTTTCATAAAACTCAAAATGAGAGAAATGAAAATTTAATGATTTAGAAGTGGGATTGCAATTACCGTTTCCTTTCTTGTATTGAGGTAATACAGTACAAATGTCTTTGTAAAAAAATTGAGATATTTCGATTTTTAAATGTTTCTTAGAACTGAATTCATTTAACAAACCACTCACTACTTGTGTATAGTCATTAAATATTGTTTTAATTAAATATTCAGTGATTTGAAAGACACTTTTAACAATAACGCTTTCATTTATTTTTGTTTATACGTACTAATCTTAAGTGATGTGACCCATATATTCATATTTAAGGAAATAACGACTGTCGGCTCAATTTGGCAAATTTATGAAGTTTTTGTTTTTAATTGTTAAAAGATTACAGAACATGTAATTGAGAATTAAATCCCTAGCATAGTTTTAAGAAAACACTCCTGGAATTTGAAGTTTAAAAAACGCTGTTTCAAAAATTTGCTTATGAATTAATCTTATTGTTGTGATTCATAAAGCCATTTTTAAGGAAATCACAGTAGTTAGTTGAAGTTGGCTGCTTTACTCAAGTCTTTTTTAGTGTAATACTAACATTGTTTTTTAAAAGTTTTTGGGAAGGGAAACTAAAAAAAGAGTAACCGCAGCTTAAGTACATCACATTTGAGGCAGGGCTATAATTTTAAAACATATGGGGAAAGTTACTGATAGTGTATCTTTTTCATATCATACCATCGCGATTTCTAAAATACATTGCTTAAAGAGAAGGCTCTGGCAAATAAGTTAGGAAGTGTTTTTAAATTTTTTTTTATTTTGGACATGGAGATATATGCAAGAGAATCAAGTCTCTCTGTACTTGTGTTAAAATTTTTATTTAAGTTAATAGGTTTTACGAGTTTTCATTGTAATTTTGAAAATCCTATGTAACAATATACCAGAGCGAAAGAAACGTACAGATTATTTAATACTTCATTACTATAATGGATAACAATTTTAATAATATGAACTATGGCCATACGTTAAATTGAAATTAAAAGAAGGTTGGGTTAGGAAGAAGTTAAGACAGTTGAGTTAGTTGTTAAAGTGGGACGTAGCCTTCGGGGTCCATCAATTCACCAAAAAAACGTAGAAGTCGGAAAAAACGAGACCTACTTTCATTTTTTGCTTTCCCGCAGTACTTGCGACCAGTTCCATAGAAATGGCCATGACGCCTCCAAGGAGGTACATTGTACTTGGTGCAATGTTTCACCCAACTCATACTTGAAGATTTGGTGACTCTCGTATGAAAAAAATTGGTCGCTATCGCGTGATATGCTGGCATTTAAAATAATAAAAAAAAATTGAAAAATTAAAAGGTTCTGTGAGATGGGTTGATGCGACGACAGTATGCGTCGAGAGCATTATGGAGCCGTAACCATCTGGTTCACAGTAGCAAGAGCTTTTCTTCGTTGTACTGCCAGTTGCCCAACACATTCCCTTACCTCTTTTCCGAAAACTGGCCCAACCCCGGTAGGAAGAATATTTTGAAGAAAAAAAATGACATATTTGTCTCAGATTGATTTTATAAAGCACTTTACCTTCCTAAGCGTAGTCAATCTAAACATATTTATTAATTTGCTTAAACACATAATAACGAGACTAATCTACTACAAATGAAATTGTTTATACACGAGCAATTAAGTTCGAGAAAAAAAGGCAAGAAAGATTATTGTCTTAATTAACGCCAACTGCATGAAAACAAAAGTAACATATTTCTATAATGATTAATGCAATGATTATCTTGAGAATCAAGTAAACAAGAATTATTCGTTAATAACCAAGTTATTTGATGATGACGCAAATTACCTTCATGTTAAAGCGAAGATTCCCTAATAGAGTTCAGAATTAATTATGCTCTAGAAAACAGTTCGATTTGCTATAAGGAAAGTGATAAACCAAATTGTCTCTCATTAGCATTATTTTCCGTTAATTTCATTCATCTAAGCATTTATGTACTTTTTTTTTATCTGTGCGCACGTTCCGTGAATTTAATTTTATGCTTCAAGATGAAGAGTATGATTATACTGTATTTAATGATAAAAATGACTTCTTAAAAGAAATTCTGAGTGCTGAAAGTTTGTTTTTTGATTTTTTACGCTTATTTTTCTCCGGGAACTAGAAAGCTAATTTAATGGGTGAGCATGTGTTCATGACATTCCGTGTTCTTCTATTTAGAAACCTGCTCCAGCGTACAAATTTCTGTCAAGTATAGAATCATATTTCTTCTAAATATATTTAATGGCAAGTAGATTTTTACCCCGAGGCAACTCTCTTCTTTCTACAATCTGATTTGCATAACTGACTAAGATCAGTTGCTAAGGAAGACGACGCAACCCTGTTTGAAGTAATGTAATAAATGAATACTTGCCTCTTTAGAAAAAGTGAATCATTAGTACTTGGAAAGAAAAACAGTTTTGTCTACTTTTAATGGATTCAAAATAAATATTGATAAGATGTGATTAATAGTTGATGATGATTTAATCACGTTGTGCTGTTTTAATTAGAGGGCTAATTTAATCATAAAAAGCTATTATTCACTTATTTGTCGCGAACAATAAAAATATTTATTTTTGTTTGAACTATATTAATTTTAACTATGCTCCGTTATGGGTAGATATAAGAATGTCAAATTAGAGGGTTGTTTACTTTTGTAAATTTTTGTTTCCATCACTATTATATCCTGAAAGCTATATGTTTTTACCC